GTTGTTTTTTCGTCAAACACAGTTTTTAGGCTAAAAATTGTGAAGAGACCTTAATTCAGGGCTAAACGCATGTACCCGATGGCTTTGGCTGTCTGGAAGGCCCACCCAGCGGCGCGGCTGTTTTCAACCCCTCCGCTGGGGGGTTGTGCACCCCTAACTTGGGGGTGTCTTTGCGTGGTTCCAAGGGCAGCTATCGACATGGGACCTTTTCGACGCTGTTCAGGGTCACGTCTACCAAAACCCTGGTGAGTTTCACCCCCATCCGAAAAGCAGAAATTCCTCAAATCGCAGGGGGTTAAAAGGGGGTGAAGTGTTTCGGCCTCTCCGTGGGTGACAACGGGGTGCACAGGCTCAGACGCGGTATCCTCTTGATCAGGGTGACCAAGAGGATGACGCCAGCCCGATCTCAGGGCTGTACCTCAAGAATTGTGGATTTTGAAGGGGGGTGGGGGTTGTAGGGGGTGGGTTTGTCCTAGAGGTCTCCCGGGGGTCGCATTTTGTAGAGGACGTCAAGGGCAATCGCTCTGTACCGTTTTCCGATTCTTTTGACCCCCGACAGACAGGCTGGTCGCTTCTAAAGTTGCGTTTTTTTGCACTTCAAATTTGCTGGGGGTGAATCATCCCCTCCCGGTCCAACCTCGTCAGTGCAACTTTGCACGCGTCTTCAGGACACTTGAAGGCAACTTGTGTCAAAGTTGCAGCCTTCTAGCTCTGAAACTCGAGATTTGAGGTCACTTTGAAAAAGTGTCCCCTTAATTTTTCCCGCCAGTATTGTCAGATTGGATTCGGCTTCAACTTTAAGAACTTAAAGCCGCTTTGATGCGTTCCCGCGGGTAAATTTTAGATGAGGCGCGTCAACTGTAGGCTGATTCCGTGAGTCGTTTCTGTCGCTCGTCCTCGCCCCCCCCCCCCCTCTCTCTCTCTCTCTCTCTCTCTCTCTCTCTCTCTCTCTCTCTCTCTCTCACACACACACACACACACACACACCCATACGGGACGTCCCCTGAGTGCGAGAGGGTCGGGGTGAGGATAACGTCTCTCGGAATGTCTGCTGCAGCAGTTGCCTACACTCTAAATATGGGGTGCCCAGAAACTGGGCACCTTTGTCGCCCGCCCCACTTTTTAGGGTGCCAAATGTCGCCCAGTTTCTGGGCACCTTTGTCGCCCAGTCTCGGGGTGGACAAACCATTAAGGAACCTGCCTTCACCCATGGCTCAGCAACGACTATGGTGCCAAAGGTGCCCAGAATCTGGGCACCTAAGTCGCCCAGGAACTAGACACCTGTGCATGTTCTACTATGGGAGAGAGCCGGTTACTGCATGATTAGTCCACTCCGAGACTGGGCGACAAAGGTGCCCAGAAACTCGGCGACATTTGGCACCCTAGAAAGTGGGGCGGGCGACAAAGGCGCCCAGTTTCTGAGCACCCTACATTTAGAGTGTAGTTGCCTGCGGACTCACCTCGAGGAAGCTGCAGCCCAGCTTGTGGCGAGGCCAGTCCTGCAGCTGGTGGTCCTTGCCGCAGTAGAAGTCTACGCGGCACCGCGCGCACGCTCGTCCCTGCGCACCGCACACCGCGCACGGCCCCGCGTCTTCACCTGCGGAGCACGACCGTATTGGAGTAGACCCTTCCAGTCGTCACCGTGTGCAGAACAAAAGTAATCAAATAAAAAACAGGAACCAGTTGCGCGCCACCTGGTGGCGACTGTTGTGAACTTCGTCCAGACCTACGCTTGCGACCTATCAGGGTTCAGCTTTCGACAGTTTACAGTAACCGCCGCTAGATGACGCGCTGCTGGTTCCAGAATTTTTTACGCACGAAGTAGCCTTATAGTATCCCCCAGGATTCAGCCTAGCTGGGATTTGATCGCGTGGCCCCTTATGCAAGTCGAAACCTCTCTGTACGATTTTGATGAGATTTTGCAGACTGGTACAATTCTGAGACGTGATTTCAATTCTGGAATATGGTTGAAATCATAGCGATAAATTTTGAGAAAATTGCCGTCAAAATCACTGTTTCCATAGCAAAGCTCGACTCGTCAACGAAAAGGGAAAAGAGAGGGGGGAGCCGAGCCAAACACAACCAATAGCATGGCTCCTTTTCGCTTGTGTACAGGTTACCCCAAAAACGGTCGCTTCTTTGAAAAAGGACGTTCGAATAAAAAACTTTCCGCGACCGTGATAGAACAGATGTAACAATAGCACAAGAGGGTTTTTTGGACGCAGTCTTTTCATTGGCACTGCCTGATGAAAATTTTTAATGGGAGTGTCTTTGCTCATGCGCGGAACATTACACAGTCATACCAACATGGAAACCTACACTCATTGTGAGTTTTGTGTTGTTTCATTTTCAATGTGTATTTTCTACCACAAAATTAATCTGTTTAAATTATGACATTATATCTGAATATATTTTGAGGACACATGTTGAAGAAAAGATTTAAAAATATTGAAAAAATAGAACAATTTTTTCATTTATCAACTCTTTACTGAATCAATAAAACAAAATTATATTTCTTAGCTCTGTCTAAGCTCTAGTTTTTGTTTGATGTTTCTTTTCATTCAGTGAGCACGATGACCACATCGCTCCACCTCGCGACTTTCAGTGCTCATGTTCCTCGAACAAGACTCACCTGCGATTCGAAACCATCCCTACTGAGTTTATAAAGTTTGTCAAACCAACCGTCGTGGTGTTATTACGTTGTGAATGAGAACTATTACACAGAATTGAAGAAAACATGACTAGAGAACCGCCTTTTGAAACAAGCCAAACAATTCAACGTCAGCAACAATGGCGGGGCAGTTTTAATGCGCGATTACTCGTGTTTTCGGCTTCGCTATTTTCGCAAGGGCGCAGTTGCCGAGAAGATTGTTGCCAACCCGCGAAAATTAATTTACTGCCTCCTTTCCCCCACGAACATTTTAATAATGATTGACTAAATGACTAAATTGACTAAATGATTCGAATTTTACGGCATTTTGATTTCTTTTTGTTGCCAAGTTTAAATTTTGACGGGTGGCACATCGACCACATTGGTACCCTTGCCATTCGTACCTAAACCACCCCCTATCCCTTTTACACAACTTCTTTCCTTTCTCCACACTCCTACACAATAACTATATTGACTTCGTGACTCCTAGGATTTCTTGAAATCGTATTTTTTGGACTTTGGTTCTTCACTCGGCGATGACTGAAAGGGTCTATTGGACGAGTTTGTCTAATCGCCTCAATTCCGAAACATCCAAACGAATGTGGCACAATACTCAAAGGAACGTGACATTTTGTCACAATCGTTTCCTGGAATGAGTGTGTACACGTGAACGACACACTGAATTACTATGCCGGTTTTTCTGCGCGCCACTGCACGAAATTAAACATGCACTTCGTAACGCACGAATTTGTGCGCGACGATGCACGATTTCGTGCGCAAGTATGCAGAAAATCGTGCATTGTTGCGCACAAATTTGTGCGTTACGAAGTGCATGTTAAATTTCATGCATTGACGCGCAGAAAAACCTACATAGTAATTTAGTGCGCGGAGAGGCAGGACTTACGCAAGTGCATACCTCTCGCACCTGGAACTCAGGGTAGGACTCCCTTAGAGATGTTCCACAACCGTGAAGAAGTGATCTCAAACAGTAGTAAGGAACTCACCATTAGCCGACGAGTTGCTAGACATCGTCAGAACCTCTAATGCAAAAAATCAACAAAAACGTGCCCTGTAAAAGAAAAACCATAGAAAAATTAAGTCATAAAAGTTTCATGCCAAAGAAGACAGTCTGGCGCGTCTGAGCACGACCATACACTAAAGAAATGAAAGTACAACCAGGGTTGGCAACCGATAGCAAAATTCATTTTCACGTCTATTCTACGAAATGTACGATTCAGTAGGGGTCTTTCCTGGCTTGGGATAGAACAGTTTTGAACCGGCAATTGGCGTTTTAAGGCTACCCTACAAATCTCTAGTCATTGGCCATTTTCTATTCACAGACTCCGATTTCACAAAATCTCAAAAGCCTTGTAGCAAATGTGATAAAATGTAAAAATGGCCACGAAAAGGAGGCCACGTACGCGTGGAAGACATTTAAGCGAACACCAACAGAATATAGGGAAAGACTAGTTTTAGTACCTGATGCCCGGAAACAGAACCTCGATCGTAACACGCACTCTGGAGATTAAGAGATAATTTAAAAATGAATTTCGTTTACGGTTTCTAACCGAGGGGTTACCCACTCCGGGAATCGTGTGTACACTCAGTCCGGGAATCGTTCGTAATTTGCTCAAAATTTTATCGAAAATCTTAAAAGTTTCAATGGAGAGGGATATGTAATAGACACAAAACACTCAAAAGGTAAGAAAAATCTTCAAAAACCTCTCCTTTTATGCAAGATTTGTTCAGGAATCGCGGGAATCCGGAATCGTGTGTACGCCCAAGTACCGAGTGGGTAACCCCTCGTTGCTAACTCATGAAGTTAGATCGGCTCGGGACGGGTGGGTCCGCATGAAAGGGCGACTTAAGGGCGCTAACAAACCATTCTAGTCGTGGCCGAGTGAAGAACAAGAAGAATGACGAAAGACTCCTTTAGGGCATTTGGAGTGCACATGTTCACTGAAGATATGGCGTATTTACTTTAAAATATTCTCACTGACTTCTACCAAGCAAAGAGTCTTAAATATTTAAAGTAAAAGTTCCAAAAGGTTATCTTTAGTGATTCTTCTTTGTTCTCACTCGGCCACGACTAGAATGCTCTAATAAAACGCAACGCACGGACGAAAGAAAGGTACGCCGAAAAACAAAGATCTCTGTATCGCACGGAAGATATCTGCTGGCGTAACACGAAGCGATCGCAGGCAGCGCGTTAACCGGAAGAAAGGGACTTCCTGGTGCATTACAGCCGCCGATGCGGGCAAACGAACTGTGTACGAGCTACGAGCATACGTCCACGAACACACGAAACCTGGGCGTGTGAAGCTAAACAGTAAGTTACTACTGTTGGCGCGCCCCGCTAGTCTCAACATCAACAACACACTTTGCCTTGCAGTCCTCCTAGTCTCGCACGGGGCGAAAATCGCCCGGTTTACTCGAGCAGTCGAGCGTGCGCATCTCTCACAGAGAGAGGGTCCCCAGCGCAGGCCACGGGACTCGGCACAGCGTGTTCACTTACAATTTGATATGAAACCACTGAAGTAGGACCAAACTGCCCCAACTACTTTACCTCGCGGTAACGCAGTACGCAGGGTGCAGCCTAGGCACACTGCAGGGTTGCGGTTGGGGAGGCAGGAGAGCACGTCTTTTGACTTGAGGTAAAGCAAAGCACTCTGGGCGGTCAAGCCAAACACAGCACTGCTCTCCGCCGAACGCGCCACCGAAGGAACGATCGCGCCGCACTTCCGCTGACGGGCTGTGGGTCCGCACGCGTGATGGTGCACGGTTGGAGGCCGTGACTGCACTGGACGACCCGCGACTCGTGACACGTTCTCCAAGGAGCCGTCCCGTTCTGGAATTCGCCGTCGTGCTCCCCTTCCCCCCAGGGGCGGCCGGCGACGCCGCTTGAAACAGTAGCCTGGTGATAAAACCAGGCGGCGCAAAAACAACTCTTTCAAAGGGTCCCCTTCAAAGGCTGCCCTTGGTGACGTCAGCTTCTCAGTTCCGCAGCAGGCCGTCTCATCACTGACTCAGCAGGCCCCCCTCCCCTGCCCCCATCCCGTGGACTGGCACGGCAGCATGCGTTGTTGCGGTCGTAGCCGTACCTGCTCGAAGTGATTACCGCGTGACTACTTCCTGATTACCGAGCGATTACCATGTTTTCCGAGTGATTACTGTGTGATTACCAAGTGATTACCGTGATTTCCACGATTACGACACGATTACTAAGATTACGAATAATTACGGAGTGATTATCAATGATTTGCGCCTGCTGACTTTGTTGCGGAGTGTGTACGAAGTGCAGCCCGGAACACTTGGAAGCGAAGTGAATGCCATTCCTGTGTCCTTCACACACTAAATGTTTGTGAACAAATTTTGTACGAGACATCACCGTTTGTTGGGCACACGAACTTTTCGTGCAAATTTGTACAAAATTTTGCACAATTTTGTACAAAAATGGCGAAAATGTGCAGTTTTTCGCACGGAAATTGTACGAAACTTTCGTGTGCAGAAAAAAATTTTATGTTTCGTTCAAAATTGTACGTAACATTTAGTGTGACCATTAGATGATCTTGAGTTTCTTTTTCTTTTCTGCTTTGAGAGCGAGAGTGTAGCCCGGCATTCTTGGAAACGCAGTGGGTGTCCTGTGATCATCAAGTTTCATTTAATATTTTGTTTAACTTTTTCTTCATTTTTTTAAAATGAGGAGCTCGCAGGACATTGTCACTCTTGTTGTCACTAGCCTCGCATTTTACAGTACGAACATCTCATTAAGAGACCTAATGTGTGATGAAAATGTTAGTGTTGGAAATTAATTGTCAATTATCTGCCCTAAGTTTATGAATGGTCATGGTTGTTTGTATGGTAATATCTGCTCATGTGTCACATGGTAATAAATCGTCAACACTTTTGTGACATTTTTGTAATGGTATTGTCGTCCTATTTAGGGAATCGCAGCGCTGATGATGATGATGGATTATCCACAACACGACTGCACTTCGTCAAACCCACTTGAAAACTTACACGCTTTTTACAGACTATGAGAACAATAGTTTTAAGGGGGCACACCAGTGAGAATCGTCAAATTTTGGCCTCCTTTTTTATTTTATCTCATTTTTCTGCTATTCATTCCGAGTCGAACGCCGCAAACCCCACCTCAAAATTCCAATTACTTTGGCTTGGGCACATTTTTGAAGTTCCTAAAAAGGTAACTATTTTTGCATATTTTACCTCAATTGTTAACGTGCAGGTGTTTCACTTGAAGTCCAATGACAAAACCCTCGAACCATCGAAACGCAGTTGGAAAAAGGAATATTTTGGCGCAAACCGAACTCAAATATGTCATAAATTGCGTCCGTAATGAGGAATAATGCGTGTAAACCGTAGTTTCACTTCAAACGTCGTTTTCTCGAAACACCATTTTTATACCTGGTGCCCACGATTGCGGCCGCAAAAATTGAGATAATTGAGTGCGGTTTGCGGCAAAATGTTCCTTAAACTCCCCGCTATCGTGTGAACCTCGGATATGGTCGTAGCATGAACAGGGCCTGAGCCACAGACACGGAAACGTGAAAAATATGGTCAAAAAAATAGTTTCTTTTTTTGCTTCTCAAAAAAACACATTTAGGATTGTGATTCCGACATGTCCGTGGTTCACACGATAGCCACATGTGTCCTGATGAGAAATTTTGAGACCCCATGTTTGTGGCTCAATCGAGGGCTTCACAAAGTTGGGCAAAGTGGAGCCGTGTCACCGAAAAATGAAGATGGCGCCCACCCCCCCCTTCCCGTCACCGCCCCTGCCTGCCGTGTACTTTTTTGGTTAAATTGACATATTTTATCGTTCAGAATGAAATTTCAACCCATTACCTTCGTTACTTTAATCAGAATAACGTTTTTACGAAGCCTCTGCATTTTCACTGGTGTGCCCCCTTAAATGATTCGAAAAATTTTAACCTAAAATGTATTTTTGAAAAAAAATCCCCAAAAATTATGGGGAGGGGGGTGCCCTACGTTGGTCTTAAAAACTGTAAAATTTCAGCTTGGGCACAGACTTGGTTTCGGAGCCATGCCAGTAGTAGTATAGTGATGTAGCGAAGAACTCACTCAACAGCAACGAGGGTGTATCAGAATGGGTCAAATAATGATCACTAGGCAGATATAGAGGTCTTTCGCGCGGTAGGACTGGGGCTCAATCCGGGCTCTGGAATTTGGGGCTTGGGTCGGGGCTCAACCCGGGGCTCAACCCGGGCTAAGGTCGGGGCTCAGACCATCGGGGCTCAAACGGGACGGAGCTCATGTCCTGTATGCCGCGTAATCCCTCGGCCACTCGGGATTTCGGCGACACTGCGTCACTTTTAGTGTGTCTTTGTCTCCAGTGTTGTGCACATCGTATCCAGTCCGCGTCCGCGTCACCGCAAGTTCGATTCATCAATTTTGTTTCGCTGTACTGTTAGTGCGTGTAGTACGTAGAGTGCAGTTGAAGTGTTGCTTGTGGTGTCGAACAGCCACCACTCGTGTTCAAGAGTTACAAGCTATTTTCGCGACCCTCGGAAACAGGACTTGTTTTCGTCAAAAGCGGTGTTACTGAGTGCTGTCATTCCATCTTCTTAACTGCAGGGACGGGCGATGAACGTGTGGGTGGCGTATTATATCAATTCGCTTCTCCTCTTTCATCCTCGTTCCCAAAGTAGTTTCTGCGTGTCGACCGAGTTTCCCTAAAGTGCATCTGGACCTTATGCACTGCTGCGCCTCTGACTGTTTACACTCTCAGACCTATATATACTTTTTTCTCTCATGCTTATTGCGTTTTTTGAGCAAACGTAAAATGTACTATTTTCTTCTTAACTATGCACAATTTTGATCGTAATAAAGATAAAATTGTCAATAGATCATATAGAAATTGAAACGTACATTGCAAACGACAAAAAGTCCGGTTTAATGGACTAAGTACTTTATAAAATGAACAAAATAGTGCATAGCTAAAAAGAAAATAGTACATATTACGTTTGCACAAAAACCTTTATGGCAAGAGATAAAAAGTCAATACGAGTCTGGGAGTGTACAGCGTCGACTCAAGATTTGCAGAAGTGCTGCACTACAATGCTTAGTTCCGTTGGCTAGCTGCAATGATTTGCGATAATACTGAGTGTGAAAAGATGTCATAGATTTCTGAGATTTCATTATTTGTAACATATTCATTAAGAAAGGGATATGTTTTGACGGCACATTTTGTGGGCAGTAATGAAACTATTATCATGTTTCATAATATTGGTTGAAGAGATTCGGAACCAAATGTGAGTTGTCAAAACCCATTGATTCTGAAAATTAATAAACTAGTTCTTACGTTTCATAAACCACTTCTGAAAGTTTAGAACAGCACGATATGAAATTTAAGACCTTTTTGGATATGAAATTTAAGGTCCATTGTTCTACACAATTAACCTCAAATCCAGTGGTTCCTTTGTAAGCTTACAAATGCTGTAAGTACTTTGTCTGGCACCGTTCATCATCTAAACCGAGTCGGTATAATACCTCATTTCAACCTTATATTCTGCAGACAATGTGGGTGGGCTACCAGTCGAACTTCTCAGGTTTCGTGGTCTTAAACTGGAAGTGAGCGAACGGGCTTAAACAACACTCAATTTTCGAAAGGTTTTCTCAAGTTTTCACTTTAATGAAGCTTGACGGCGCGCCTTTGTTGAAGAAGAGCTCCAAAAACAAACATCGTCGGCGCAGATGAAGCTGCTCTCTTCTAGTGGCCCAACAAACCACCACCGCCACTCAAACCGCTAGTCAAACCGCCCAACAAACCAGTAACTGGTTTCACTATCCCGTCTAGCAAAGGGGCAGCATTTACTGCCTGCAAAAAAAAAGAAAGAAATACGACAATTAATACTTGAAGCAAGTTTTCACTGTTTAAAAGTTCTATACACCCTTGCCCTTCAATCAACATTTTATTAATATTCATTGATGTTTCTGCGCATCAATGGAATTTTGTTATGAAGCTGAAAAGATTTTTCAGGACGAAACTGATAATATTGTTAGTAAAATAAATAAAAATGCTAATACGCTCATTAATGCGCACAATCGTCAATACAATAATAAACAAAAACTCAGTACGAGTCTGCGAGTGTAGCCTGCAGAAGTCAATCTCGGTTACATGCACGGATTTATAGTGATTCGTGTAGATGGATCCTAGAGTTAAACCATTTGCGGGTTCCATATATGCTTGATACTCCATCGACACACCCCGTATTTTTTATTAAAAAATCTCACAAAGATTCGAAATCTAAAGGTCAAACCGCACACAAAACCTACGTACGTACCCATTGTGTGTATTCATCACTGCGAAAAAACTACAGTAAATCCTGTAACGATTAGTACAGCTGTCGCTGTAGTTCAGAGTACAGGATTTACTGTTCTTTTTAACAGGATCTTCTGTACTTTTTTACAGGATTTACTGTACTTTGAACGGGAAGGTACAGTAAATCCTGTAGCCAGGTTCAGTAATTCCTGTATTCTGAACTACAGTAAATCGTGGCAAAAAATAACCAGGATTCACTGTGGTTTTATCGCACAGTGATTGAAGTACACTGTGCAAAAAACCACAGTGAATCCCGTTAATTTTTTCGCCGGGATCTTCTGTAGTTCAGAACACAGGATTTACTGTACCTGATACAGGATATTCCGTACTCCACTCCTGTGGTACATTAAATCCCGTACAAAGTACAGTAGGTCCTAGGTACAGTAAATCCTGTACTCTGAATTACAGTGACAGCTGCACTAATCACTACAGGATTTACTGTGATTTTTTCCCACAGTGTACACACTGCGAAGTGCGTGCTTAGGCAAGTTTGCGCGAAGCGCATGCTTGTAAGCGCGTGACTCGAGGAGTCCACTGACTACACACAGACATAAGTTTTGTGTGCGAGAAACAGGCATTGAGCATGTGTTAAATTGGCCTCGGAAATACCCTACAAGTGCGTTTGTATTACTTCTGAAAAAAATCTCGTTCTTGGGTACACGGCGAAAACGGTAA